CAGACAATTTAGCTTACCCAATTAACCTACAGTGCATGTCTTGTGGGGAAAACCGGAGCATCTGGGGGAAACCCACGCAAACACAATGAGGACATGCGAACTCCACACAGAAATGCCAACTGACTCAGCCGAGGGTCCACCCTCCCCCAATATATATATATATATATATATATATATATATATATATATATATATATATATATATATATATATATATATATATATATACACAGTTGAAGTCAGAATTATTAGCCCCCCTGAATTATTAGCCCACTGTTTATTTTTTCCCCAATTTCTGTTTACCAGAGAGAACATTTTTTTCAACACATTTCTAAACATATTAGTTTTAATAACTCATTTCTAAGAACTGATTTATTTTATCGTTGCCATGATTACAGTAAATAATATTTTACTAGATATTTTTCAAGACACTTCTACAGTTTAAAGTGAAATTTAAGGCTAAACTAGGTTAATTAGGTTAGCTAGGCAGGTTAGGGTAATTAGGCAAGTTATTGTATAACAATGGTTTGTTCCGTAGACTATCAAAAAAAAAAAAAAAAAAATAGCGTAAAGGGGCTAATAATATGCCCTTAAAATGGATTTTAAAAAATATAAAACTGCTTTTATTCTAGCCCAAATAAAACAAACCAGACGTTCTCCAGAAAAAAAAAATATATTATCAGACACACTGTGAAAAATATTTAGGAAATATCTAAAAATATTTAGGAAATAAAAAAATTAAAAAAATCAATGGGGGGCTAATAATTCTAACTTCAACCATATATAAGATAGTCTATTTTTATGCTGCTACATTTGTTTTGAAGCAGTCCTCAATAAGCAGGTAAACTGGTACCACATGAAGGCTCAGTGAAAAATTTCAACTAGTTTAGGTCTTTCACCAACTATCACATATTGTGAAAATATTGAGCAAATCCAGAGAAAAATCAACCTTTGAGTCCTCAGATGGCACGGTATGAAAGATCATGCTGTGCTGTTAAATAAAGTCAAATGAGCTTAGCAGTGCTTAAGAAAACCTCTGCCACTTAGAGTAATTATGTGCTGCTGCATCAAGAAATGCCACTTGATGGTTTGTTGCATTGTGAAAGCAATACATCAGTTCTGTGCAGTAGGGGTTGGGGGAGAATGTGATTGGACCTAATTGCCTAAAGGCTCTGGTCCACAATTTCTTTGTTTTCTCATGCACTGCATAACAGCACATGATAATGGGCACAAAGGTTAAAATGCCAAAGTAGAAACACAGGAAACATTATTTGCATGCTACCCCGAATGAGGAATTGCAGGCATGCCTGTCTTTACCTCCACACATGCAAGTCTGTCAGGCTCATCTTATCTACATCAGAACATCTGCCATTGTAAGGCCATCCTTAACAACATTGTCTACTATGGTGGACCTTATTATTATTATTTTTTTTTTTTGATAAGCCGCTATGTCCTAAGCCTCTGCTGTTTTCCACTATTCCACCAGTCATACTTACTACACTTCCTCCTCCTCTCTGCTTTTGACCCGGATTTTCACATTGTCAAAGTTTTCATACATTGTCAACATTTGAAATTATTGTGTTGCCCCCTGCCTATATGTACTTTCCACCTGAAGGGTCATAGAATACATATGCGCCTTTGAGCCATTTCAGAGAACTGGTTTATCATTGGTTGATCTTTATTCTCTTTTTATGAAAAAAAGTTCTAGACTTACCTGCACAATTCATGGCAAATTCATTAAACATCTAATAGGAAAAATACTTTAAAGAATTTACTGTAAAGCATTTTTCCTATTGAATTGATTTGAATCTGAAAATGCTTTACAGTTTATGACAATAAGATCAATCATAAAAGCGGAATCAAAGTTGCAATCCTGCTGATATTTCAGTAAAACTATTATACTTTTTTCTCCGGTGGTATTATGTTAATATAACATTTACATCCAGAGATTGCATGTTCAGTGATCCTTCATTGATTTAGAGGTTGACAATCCAGAAAAATAAATGTGTCATGGTAAGCTGATTTTAATGTAAATTGAATGGGGGACCGGACAGTTGAGCCTTGGCTCTGAGACTGAGATGGTGCATTTCTTCTAAAACAACATACTAAGAAATGTGGTTAAAAAACAAAGCGGGAAACAAAGAGAATGCATGACATAACATGGCAAAAAAATGTATTAGAATGAAGAATTGCAAGTTGAATAGGAAAAGGTTGATTAGAGATCTTTTGAATATAACACCACTTGAGGTTGTGATTTGAGTCACAAGTTTCAATTTTTTTGTTTGTAAAATAAGAAAGATCACTGGCTGAGGTAGTGAGGAAATAACTGCTGATATTGCATACACTGTAAAAACTAATCTATAGAATTTACCCAATAAATCTGAGGTAACAATTTGCATCGACTTTGGCTGGGTATATTTAATGCCATATATTGAGTATAAACTATTGACTTTGGCTGGGTATATTTAATCCCATACATTGAGTATAAACTATCGTCTTTGGCTGGGTAGATTTAATCCCATATATTGAGTATAAACTATCTGAAGTAAAAAGCTATTAAATACTACAAAAATTGGGTAAAAAATACCTCACATTTATGTATATATTCAACACCTACTTATTAGGTAAAAACTATCTCTTTAAATCGAAGTTTATTAATATCAGTTACCTAATAACAATTACTTATTCAGAGAAGGTAAAATCTACCTCTACAATAAAGACATTTAAATTGGTTATCAACTCAATGTTTTTATTCCAAAAAATCAGAAAACGCACTTAAAATAAAGTGCAGCACAACAGCATTACACAACATTTCAAGTAATGAACATGTTTTATAACTCGCTGATCTATCAAATATTTCAATAATGTTGGATAATAAAACATTTCCCTGTTTTAGGACATCCAGATCAGAGCAGAAAAGAAGTAAGCAAAGAAAAGAAAAAAAAAAGGAGAAAAAAAGGAGAAGTGAGGAGATTAGAGCAGAGCTGGATGTCCAATCACATCAAGATTTTCTTTTATCTAAACTCTTAGACTAAACTTGTGTCTTTTCAGATTTACACAACAGTAACTGACCAGTGGTCTGTTATCCATATACATTCATAAAACAAAATAACTGAACAGTCTTGCTTATATGCAGCACTGATGCACCAAATTATCAAAACACACAGAATAAAGTGCTAAATAAAGTACAACAGCTTCACACAACAATGAACAAATAAACCTGTTTTATAACTCATTAAGACAACAGTTTCAAATGTTGTTTCAATAATGTTGGATAATAAAACACATCTAGATCAGAGAAGAAAAGAAAAGTGAGGGGAGAGGGGAGCAAAAAAAGGAAAATAAAAAAGAAGTGAGGAAATCAGAGCAGTGCTGAATGATCAATCACATCAAGATTTTCTTGTATCTAAAAACACAGAATAAAGTGCTAAATAAAGTGCAACAGCTTCACACAATAATGAACAAATAAACCTGTTTTATAGCTCACTAAGATAATTTTCAAATGTTGTTTCTGAATAATTGGCTACTCGCATACAACTCTTTCAGAGGCCACTTATTATATTTTAAAAGGCAAAACCACACACACAACCTCGTTTTTCTGTGCATGTACAGTATTAAATATAAAAAAAGATAAAAGAAAAACAAAATACCATCATTTTTTTTTTGTCCTTACTCTCACTCTCGCAGATAGGATCAGAATGAAATAAGCAAACAAATGGGGAAGAGGGTAGGTGAGATCAAAATTGTTCAGGCCACTATCTATTAGTATTCCTTTTCTGTCAATATGGGGGAAAACACAGAGCAATGGAGAGGGCTGAGAAACAGTGGATGGGTCTGTGTCTGTATGTGGAGCAAATGAGGGAAGAGAAGTAAAATATAAAACAGTCCATTACAACTCCATCAAGGTATGTCCAAACAAAGAATCCCCTTTAAACAAGAAGAGAAATGTCTACTGCATAAGCTTATTTTTGAGGCTGTGGACTTTCTTCAGAAGTTTTGCCCCATCAATTTCCAAAAAAAGTTTTTGAAAAGCTTCAAATGTGTTCTTCAGCTCCTTTGGATATTCAATGTTGATTGCATATATGAGTCCCATCAGCAGTATGCATGCCTTTGTTCGGCTTCCACATCCTTCCATCACTTGGTTTCCCTCGATCACAATAGACAAATCGTCCTCCTCAGCCATGACATTGTGCTTCACAATTACCTTCATTGTTTTGTCTGTGTACTCCTCACATTCCTAAGTGTTAAAAAGAAACAAACAAAAAGCACACACAATTTTATTTCAAGATGCTCTTTCAATATATTTCAGTTTATCTAAAGGAGAGCAGAAGGGAGTAGAAGACAAAAGGAAAAGGGAGATATGAGAGGAGGATCCCTTGAGTTAATCAAGAATATGTTATCCATATGACATACCTGCCATTCATGGAAAAGATCTTCTTGTCTTTCACCGAGGTAGTTAATGAGGCAGCAGACAACAGCATCTCTTTTTTCCTCAATGTTCTGTGTCTGTAGGGAGATACAATTTAGCAGAGTGGGGGGTTATTTGCATGTACTAAGACTGAATTCCGGCCCTGCAATAGACTGGCGACCTGTCCAGGGAGAACCCTGCCCCTTCGCCTGATAAATGCTGGGTTAGCTTAAGCTTCTCTTGACCCGGATAAAGCAGCAAAGAAAATAGATGGATAAGACTGAATTCACACACTGATGTTAAAAGTTAGTTTAGGTTGGTAAGGAGCTCAACTTAACACAACAAAGCAATTGTTTACAAATAATTTAACTTTTAATTCCCTCATATTAATAATTATATATCTGTGAAAAAATAAAATAACATACATTTAAACTGTCCAGCAGAGGACGCATCTTGCAACCAGCTGCTCCTCCTTTGGCACACATTAGCCGCAAAAGACCAGGTGTGTACTCATCAAGCTTCCGCAGGAATGTCTCCTCCAAGGAAACCGTTGTGATGCGTCTGAACTCCTTCTTGATCTAGGAAGTAAAAAGAACAAAAATTATATGTTAAATGACAGACCAGATCTCATAGTAATCACATGAAAGTATCTTAGTGGGGGGAAAAAAAAGAAAAATTCTCACCTGAGCCTCAGTGAATAATGCTGGCCACCTTTCTTTAAACACATCAACAGAGGGGCTGAGGCTGACCACTTCAATTCTTCGGCTAGAGAAGGTTTTATTCATTTTATCTGCAATTATCTTTGCATTGTTTTTCTTTGTAATTTCACAAATTAATTCAAGTCTCTCTTTCTCCAGTGTCTCTTGGCTTTCACCAGTAGGGTGTGGAGGGAGGTAATTAACCTCTGCTTTTTTGGCCTTTTTTATATTTTTTAAAGGCCCTACATCAGCGGGATGCTTCCTTTTTAAGGTGTTGATTTCAATTTCCGGATAAGAATATTTTCGAGATCTTAGCTTGGCACGGTAATTGTGCATCTTGTTTTTTATGCGCTGCTGCCAGCCATATAATCCCGCAAATGAACCTGGCTCCCTAAGACACGGAAACTTAGAAACCAAGGCTTCAGCTACTGAGAGGATCTGCTCATTGGTTGGGTAAGCGGTGTATGAAAAAATTACTTTTGCAAGCTCTTGCATTATTGCTGATTTAATACTGGCATCCATGAAGTGTCTTCCAGAGGCATGATACGAGTTGTTTGCCTCTGCAAGGATTAGTTCTATGTCTCTGGAAAACTCTGGTACTTGGAATGGCACTGGCCATGCAGCAGAGCGACATGAATCAGGAAGAATAATGGTATCACTGGAACTTGAAGATTCGCAGTTTGACACCTCTGAGGATGCATCATGATCTGCAGGGCAGATGTCCGTTTCAGCAGTACTAGCAGGATGGGTGCTCACTGTACTCAATGTAGATGATTCAAATACTGGGTGTAGGTCAAGGGTGATTGTCGGCTCTTTTAGGATCACTTTAACAGTGGCCTTGTCATGCAAGTCAGCAGTTGAGGTGACACTGAAAAACTGATTGTCAAAGTTACTGTCTTGGTATAGTAGTCCAATTTCCCCATGCAATTGGAAAGTTGCAGTAATTATGGAAACAAGATCTTCCAATGTATTTGGAATTCCTGTTGGAAGTTTCAATTTTTGAATGTTGTGTTCTTCTAAAATTACTCTTAACTGGACCGCCATTGTTGATTGTAGTGTGTTTCTTTAGCTGTAGAGACAGAAAGAAAAGAAATTGAGACAGGTTATTAATAGTTGATGAGCTTACTTGCATATGTTTGCTTCAATATTGTTCTGCCAAAGCAATAAACGGATATTTAATGAAGTAGAAATTTTAAGAAATAATCTGATTGTCATTTTTTTAAGAAGAGGTAGATGAGGAAAGAAGAAGGAGGATAATAAGTATTACAATTTTTTTCCCATAACTGAGGACTTTGGTTAAGGTAACTACACCTTTGAGGACAATGCGATTTATTTTATTTGGAAAACTTGCATACCTGTAAAGGATACACTTGCGGTGTGGTCGTGTTTGGATGTGTCAGGCCTAGAATGGGTAACAGCTGTCTATCAGTGAGTCTCTGCTTGTGGAGGACAGACAAGAGAAACTGAAGAAAGGGTCAAATAGTGAGTGTCCACATACACAGACTCTGCCTGCAACAGAAATTAAAACAGAAATTACACAAAAGAAATGATCAGACATGTACCTGGGTTAGATTTTGTACAGTTGATTTTGTGTTTATCACAATATAATGTAAATGATCACCTCTGGTGGTTTTTCAGGTGTTTGTTTAATATGCAAAATGAATTATGACCCCAGGCATTAAAAAAACTAATTGCAGAATGGCGATCAATTGAGGAAATAAATACAGTAGTTTATCTGTGCTCCTCTGATCAAGGCAGTCTGTCTGACAAAGGTCAGTTATGCAGAAATGATGTGTTATGTGTACTTAACTCACTAAAATAAAGGCATTGCAATTACATATATTAATATCTATGCTTAGCTTCATAGATGTAATATGCCTCATATACCATATTACAAGATTATAAAAAAATTATTAAACACTGATGTTTAAAAAAATACCAAATATAAGATAAAAAAATTATTCTAAAATGTTTTAACTGATCCCACAATTTTTTAAAAATGGGATACAGAGGTACTGTTTTTATGTTTCAAACAAGACAAAAGGGAAGTAACGTTAGTGCAAAGCAGTAGCGCTCTCTCTTGTTCTCCCTCTCTCTCTCTCTCTCACACACACACACACACACACACACACGCACAGCACGGCGGATGCGCTCTTTCACTCACTCTCTCTCTCTCACACACACACACACACACACACACACACACACACACACACACACACACACACAGAGAAAGCACAGCGAATGCGCTCTCTTTCTTTCTCACACACACAGCACGGCGGATGCGCTCTTTAACGCTCTCTCTCTCTCTCTCTCTCTCTCTCTCATTCAAATGTAATCTCTCTCTCTCTCTCTCTCTCTCTCTCTCTCTCTCTCTCACACACACACACACACACACACACCCACACACAGCACGGCGAATGCGCTCTCTTTCTTTCTCTCTCTCTCCCTCGGGAGTGCTATATAGTTAGGCCACCCGCTCCGGTTAAAATTACACCAGAGTTACCGACCGCTAACGTTACTGCGTTTTATCTGGAAATTTATTCCCGTGCTCAAGAAAACCGGTCGGGTCCCGCGAAACAGCCGCAGGAATGCAGACCTCTAGCCTGGGGTCAGTTTGTGTATTTGAACACATCAAACCGACGCAAGAAACACAACATACCAAGTTGCCTGACCGACGGGCAGACGTTGCTCAACAGCCGGCTGTTGGCTTGGTGTGTGCCGGGCCATGGTGACGCCAGCGACAGTTTCAAACTTTAATTTCAAGTAATGACATTTTAAACAAATGAACGCAGAATAAAAGTGATGTGTAATATCTCATAATTTCAAAAATGACCTTAAATTGAGCTTACCTTATCTTCTGCTGTTCGATGACAGCCGTTGAGAGGATCCAGCGTCGCCCAGTCACTCAAAAACGCGGGCTGACGCATGCGCAATTTCAAGCAAAAAAACTCACGGTTTAAGGGTATACTTTACTGCCTTTATCAATGTGATGATTGTTACTGTTGACGAATGGGTAGCATATGTAGAATTTACCCATTACTTTTAAATTCCTTGGTTGGCTGCAATAATCAAGTAAATTTTATATGGTTTTCACAGATTATATTTACCGCTCTCAAAAATCACTTTTTTCAGTGTATGTGTCAGAAAATGTGGGAGAGCTTGTGTGTGTGTGTGTGTGTACGTGTCAGACCTTTGATGACCTCTGTCAACAATCTGATGTTCTCGAAGGGCAATTATAATGAGCAACTCCTTCATATGAATGGAATATGGGATGTGCATGCATGTAAGCAGTTCAGTGAAGCGATTAAGAGATTTTAACTATGCTATTACTAAAAGTGGAGGAGGGGACTTTTTTGTTGAATCTTCTTTTGTCTGTTTCTTGACGTATTACTGTATGTGCACAGCTCAGAAAAAAAAAATGTGAAAGGTCTGCTGTGTGGACATTGTGTTAAAAGTGTTATGAACTGCGATTTTGTTATGTTCTACTGTTCTCTGAGGTTTGATTATAAAAGTAATATGATTTTACATGAACAGAACAACTTAATTCAAAAGTATTTTGTTATTTTCTGTCTGTTTAACCAATTGCACATTCCATTTGAATGTGCGGCAGATTAAGACTCTAAAGTAAACACTTAATTCACAGAGTGAATTACCTATGGACTTCTGCAGAAACAATAGGTACAAACTGTCAGGATTCTGCCTCTTCAGTTTTGTTAATTCTTGTTTTGATGGCAGAGTCCAGACACTAGTCCTGTCATGTTTTGTATGTTGTGATTGGCTCAAGTTTTCTTGGGTCAAGCACTAATTTAATGTCTTCATCTTTGTATGAGCATCTTGTGCATGGGTCGTGCGAGCTACCACTTGATGCAACGGATCTCCAACAATTATGTGGCCTTCAGATTGTGAAGAAACACTTAGTTTGTCAGAATTTCAAGAGATTTTGGACAATTTCCAACATTTTAGGCATGCCCCCTTCTCATGTCAACATGACTGCACACCAGTGTACAAAGCAGGTTTCATAAAGATACACATCAAAAGTTTGTGTGTCGGAACTTGACTGGACTTCACAGAGTCCTGATTTCATCCCAAAAAAACACCTTCGTGATTACATTGGAACAAAGACTGCAAGCCAGACCTTCTCATCCAACAGTCAACCGAGCCGAGCGACGCCCACTCATTGCTATCATTGAGAAGCTGCTGGTCACTGGGAAGTTGACCAGCCATCCTCATCCCTCCGGCCCCGCCTTGGTCAGTTGTCGCCCTTCCTATGCCTCTGGACTCCATTCTTTGACTGCGTCTTGTCGCTCTGTCTCTCCCTCCAGCATTTCCTCCGTCCTCAGTTGCTCTGCCACGGGCTACCAGATCCTTGTCGTTGCCTCGCTCAGGTGAGCCGTAGGCTCAACCTCTGCCTTCCAGGACCTCTACGTCACCCTTGTTCTGCAGCTCTCCATCTCCTTGGGCTCCACCTCCATCAGCGCAGTCTTCCTTTGTCGCCCCCCTGAGGTCTGCCGCCACTCCTTCTCCCTGGCTCCTCCCTCTCTTGACTTCGCCTGGGCCTTCCTCCTGGCTATGTCCTGGGTCCATTGTCTCCTTCTCCAGCGTCCTTCAACTCTGCATTACCCAGCTTCCCCCCCTGGCACCTCCCTCCTAAGACTCCTCCCCCGCCCCTACCTCCTTAACTGTTGGTATTTGTATGCTCGTGCCTTCAAAAGGAGGGGAATAATGTTACATTCTGTTCCTGTGTTTGTGTCATATAATTTTCCCATATGTTATTCCTTGTGCTTTCATGTTTCACGTGCTCTTTTTTTTCTGTTTACCCACCACTAATTTTATGAGTTTCACCTGTGTTCCTCCCCTGTGTGTTATCATAGTCATTATGTCAATAATACCCCAGTGTTTGTTTAGTTCCTTCTGGTCCTAATCATCATTCTATATTGTCAACCTTGAAGGGATTGCTGTGTTCCAGTTTTGAGTGTTCAGTTTGTAAATAAATACGTGTTTTCTAGTTAACTCCTGAAGTTCAAGCGCATCTCATTAGTAGAGAGAGTGAAGTAATTTAAGCTGGGTACAATTAATATCATGTTTTATAACATTTAATACAGTTATTTTGTAACTAACTTTGTTGTATCCATAGAGAGTTATTGTCATTAAAGAATTTACATTTTCAAGTATTTGTAAATAACTTTTGATTTAATGTCAACACTTAAATACATTTACAAAACTCATACTAAGAACTTTTTAGTCATTTGGCTGAACTACAGTATGAACTGCTATAATTAAAAACCCATTTATACAATGGTTCTAACTGAGCTTCTATTAATTTGCATCTTTCTGGAAATCCTGTATCAAATTGTACATTTCCAGAAAGGTGTTGTAAGATTGATTGTAAACAAATGTGTGGCGAAAGAAAGTAAACAAAAGACTAAATTCTTTATAACATGATTTGAAAGTTCATCCCACTTTCCTAATTTTGGTATTGGAAGGAGCTTGTATTGAACAGCATCTTGTTGTCTTATGAGTTATCTTTATTATTTGTTTTCTGCATAGACCTGCAGTTGCATCTATTGTTATTTACTACTAAAGTGGGAGTCAGCTCATTTTCATAATTTGTAGTGCAGCTCAAGCAGAGTAATGACTAAAGCCGGGCTCACACTGTGCGATTAGTAATAGTCCTTTACAACTGCAGCTTGTCAGACTATACACACATTCTCCCTATGACACACTGTAAGAACTCAGTTGTTATAATGTCAGACTGTGTGACAATCAAGACATGTCAAAAACACACAAGAAGACTTGTCTAGAGTTTAACGTCATCAGTCGAAATGAAATGAAAGTCAATAAAAGTAAAATATAAATCATAACTGTAAGCAAATCCCAGTGCATTCTACGCGCATGTTTTAAAAGGTACTGTGCCTGAAATTTGCATTTTCAGAGTTCTTTATCTCCAAGTCACTTTCTTTCTTTTTGACATGATACAGAAGCATGTCATACAAAGACTACATTTCCCTTTGTAACTCAATATGCTTCTCTTCTTACTATATGGTGCACCTGACTCAGTTCAACATTTACCCTGAGGTGATTTGAAATTGTCGTGCTAATGGCATCATCATATTCTATAATTAACTGAAGCTGTCAAACCGTTGATCAAAGGATACATTTTGTACCAGTGGTTTTGTCTCTGATGATTGTGGCCAATATAAGCAGAGTAGAGCTTATGATGATGATCAGGTCTGTGTAATCTGCTAACAAAAAGTCACAACATATTTCTTTCAAATTGTTTTATTTCAGAGAGTTTAATGTTTGGTGCGTTCAAGTCATGTCAGATAAGGCCTAGTTTACACTGCATTCAGATAGTATACATATGCGGGCCACTTTAGGCAGTTATGCGGCACTGGTGGCTTCAAAATTTATTTAAAAAATAAACACAGGCCACAACTGAACATGGAGGATGGTTTCCAAGTGGAGTTCTCCAAAATTAAACGATAAATAGACTTGGGCCTTTTGGCATGTGTGTTGTATTCAATGTTTCATTATTTATAACCACCTGAATCACTGGCACTGTTATTTTGGGGGCCATGGGCTGAAACGTTTGGGAACCTCTGGACTACACTAAGCAATCCCAG